AATTATCTAATTTAGATGGTAGTTGTCGACCTACGTATAAATTATGCTTTTTACAATCAAATAAAAATTTACATGCACTTAACAACCATCCTTACATTTTAAGCTAACAGAGTTTTATTTCCTGGCTTTAAACTGTAATATTATGCCTATTCACTTCAGAATAAATTAAAACGCTTGTTTTAATACAACAGCTGACAGAGTCTTTCTTCATATTTTACGTGGCTCACGGAAAAAGTTTAAAAAGTTTTCGTTCGACAATTCACCAAGGTAGCTCTACGAAATACCAAAAGCAAGCAAACTTTGACCATTGTTATGATATTAATTCATGTATATAGTCATTACAAGCGTATTGACGTCAATATTCTTATTTAAGGAAATATCGTTCAAGCGCTGCCTGAACTGCCAAGGATACTTACGTGAAGCACTTCGAAAGCAAAGTTTGATTTCGAACTTATTCTTACGGTTGCGACCGACTAAGTAATCAAAAACGTATTTAGCTACATGTAAGACATCCCTTACTGGCTTATTTTCCCGAGACTTAAAAGCATCATCCATTAAAAGAGTTGAAATAGGAATAGAAAAGGAAAGGATTTACCGTAACATTTATTATAATAAGCTATGTTCACACTACATTGCGGGGGCGGATCTAGGGGGAGGGTGCAGGAGGTGCGCACCCCCCCCCCCTCCTGAGATGACCTGCGGTTTTCTAATACAACTGGTATTCTGCAAAAAAAACTATGTGGTTTATTGGTGTTGAAGTAGAGCAAGAGACGAGTGCACCCCCTCCTAAAAAAAAACTGGATCCGCCCCTGCATTGGATAGCCGATATACAGACGAACTGTGAACATAGCTTTAGTTTTAAAATGCGGAGACGTTATTTACATACGTCAAGCGGACAAAATACTTTCTCTATCTAATACCTCCTCTTCAAAGCAAAACATTACGTTCGTTTAAATGACTTTCATAAAAACGCGGCCAACATTGTCTCTTGGTAGGGAAGTAAGCAAAAGGGTTTTAGAAATACATCCCAAATTTAAAATTATACTAGAAAGGCTTTTGTGGCTTTGCGACTATCTACTCTCGGGCAGCTTTGCAGGGACTTTCGGCAAACGAAAAGAGAAAATCGAATCAGTGTGGTAAAGTGGACGAATGCTATAAATGAATATTTTAACCTATACTGTAAATTGAGCGCACTGTATTTAGCGCGCGCAAAAACTTGAAAAGGAAGCTCAATGGCTATAATTACGCGCGCAAGTTTCAAAAATACACTGACGAAGTTGCAACGGGACAAATAACGGAATGACGGCAGTTAACTAGTTGTAAAGCGAGGTCGTATTAAAAATTACAGTTTCAAAATCATGTCAGTTAGTCGATCTACAGAAGGAGTTAATCGAAAATAATATTGGCTTAAGACTTTTGCATAAATTAACTACGGACAGATCGAGTCAATTTCCTTTCATATGGAACGGTGCAGACTATTTACTCCAGAACCCTTTGAGCTTCCATATTTTAATGAAGTGATTATTTTGTAAGCGGCAAATTCAGGAAGGATAGATCTTTCCACAGAAGGCGATACGTGCCAGACAACAGAAGTTACAACAGTAGATGTCAATCTTAACGCTATACACTTAAGAATAACTAGGAGATATATTCCATCATTTTTATTTATTTATTTTTTATGTTTGTTTATTTAAAAACTATCAACTGCTTAACTTCGATCGACAACAAGGAAAGACTAACACACTAAATGAAAACGCCATAAATAAGGAGGATAGATAAGTAATTTCCTCAAAATTCAGATCACGACCAAAAGTATCTTTAGATCGATTCCTGAGGAAGCGCAAAGTACTCACATAAGAGATACACAATTTATCAGTCTTTTTTTAAGTTGTTCATCACAAAGAATTCAGGAAAGGAGAAGGTTGTTTGATCACTACTTGAGACGTTGAAAATGCAGTGTAAATTTAAACAATTAATAAATGTATCTTTGTGATATCTAACATTAAATCCTGATAAGATATCCCTTAGTTAATTTTATCATGCAGCGACCACTAAAGGTAACGTAAGGTTTAATAAGGCGCGCACGAGCCAAAGGTCCAAACGGCCGGAGCTTATCCCGGTTTCCTCAGCATGAAGCACGTTTAGAAGTATTGCTTCTCCCCTCTGGACGGGATGCTAGTCGATCTCAGGGTTACCCCCCAGCTGTATGTCGCCGATACCCATTTATACACCTGGATGAACAGAGAAAAAATGGATAGTGAAGTTCCCTGTCTAAGGAAACAACGCGACGGGGGCGGCTTGAACCCCTGTGTTCGAGGAGTTATCCACTCGGCCAGACACGCATCCACTGAAGAGCATCAAACAAATTTTAAAGATAAAGGAGAACCGAATAAGGCTAAGGGAAATCGAGTCTAAAACTTCTGCTGCTTGCATTGTCATTGCTTAACCGATACATATCAGGATTATTCATTTTTATTATTAATAAGTAAAATCATTATTAGTATTACTATTGTTATTTATTCTTCACTAGTGTAGAGCTGTTAGTGTATTTTAATGTGCTCAAAACTCCCATTTCAAAACGTCATGACTTGGTTAAAACGATTTCCTGTTTGGGTTTTCCAGTCTAACTAAGAATTAATAGGTTCCTTTTCAACAAAAATACAAGGCTTGTTACTTCTTTTACTCCCTTTGATTTTTACGAACCTTCTGCCGGTACTACAATACTTAATTATTATGCTTTTAAAGTGTGAATTATTTTGAATGAATATGCATTATTATTCATTCAAAACATGATATTTCCCCGATTCTGATTGGCTAAAAGCACACGCATAATTCACCATAACCAGCAACTTATAACCAAATTTGAAAAAAAATTGCGATTAATCAACCGATGACGTCAAAAGTGTAGCTTTCTTGCAGATTAATGGTCCGTTAACCGAGAAGACCTGGAGATGAGGTTGAGTTGCTTTGGTTGTGAAAACAAGAATGGCGGACATTTCACTCGTTTCAAGAGTAAGAACTAGGCGAAAGAATGGCTAAAAACATGGCAAAAACAGCGAAAAGACAACTTGAAGGGCGACATCTGCTATTTGGAGAATATGTGCGGAGCTGAATAACCCTACACGTGCACTATCGAAGAAGAACTTAACATCGATTGAGGTGAGCATCTTTTAGCTATGGTTATAAACTTGAAATTACTTTGAATGAATAATAAAACAATTGGTGAATTCCGTTTTTCTACCATATGAAGAATTACGGAGATCTCGGAGGGTGATATACGCCTCGACGGATAACACCCTCCTCGATCTCCATAATTTTTCATAAGATACTCAGCCTCATTCATTAATTGTTAAATAACTATTGGACGAGGTTAAGTATGATCTGAAGAATAATGCAAATCGAGGTGGGTGTTATCCGCCGTGTAAGGTATTGAAGAAGGTAGATGCTGATCACTATGACATGACATGTTGTCCGGGTATCGTCCTGGTATCGTAAATGTACAAATCGATACTGGTATCGAGACTACTGTTGCTGGTTATAGCCTTGGTGGTTTATCCACCTGTTATGGTTTACTGCTAACCATGCACAGGATTTGTTTTAACAGTGGTAGGAGCAGAAGCACGCAGAATCCACTCATGCAGTGATTTTTAAGTGCAATTACAATACATTTTATCTTCGAGAGTTACGCATGTCAACGGTAGAGGATCTAGGGCTGCTTCTATGTCATTGCAAGAAAGCGACTTGGTTATTAACGTTCCGTTTACAGATCGATTCCATTCAAAGGACATTTCCTTGGTGACTGAAAANTATTGGACGAGGTTAAGTATGATCTGAAGAATAATGCAAATCGAGGTGGGTGTTATCCGCCGTGTAAGGTATTGAAGAAGGTAGATGCTGATCACTATGACATGACATGTTGTCCGGGTATCGTCCTGGTATCGTAAATGTACAAATCGATACTGGTATCGAGACTACTGTTGCTGGTTATAGCCTTGGTGGTTTATCCACCTGTTATGGTTTACTGCTAACCATGCACAGGATTTGTTTTAACAGTGGTAGGAGCAGAAGCACGCAGAATCCACTCATGCAGTGATTTTTAAGTGCAATTACAATACATTTTATCTTCGAGAGTTACGCATGTCAACGGTAGAGGATCTAGGGCTGCTTCTATGTCATTGCAAGAAAGCGACTTGGTTATTAACGTTCCGTTTACAGATCGATTCCATTCAAAGGACATTTCCTTGGTGACTGAAAAGTAGGTGTGACACGAAATCAAAAATTTATTTAACCCAAGAGGGAAAATAATCATAAAATATAGACTGACTCACAGCATGTTTTCATGAGCACTAACGCAAGAGTTTTAAGAGTCGCTTTGTATTGCATCTTCTCTAACTCTTATGAAAATAACATCACGCAAAATAAGACAAAGACATACAGAGTTCAGTTTTCATCATTCTAATTTTTTCCAAATTATTTCAAATGCGTATGAGTGGTGTTTTTTTTGCAGCTTCAGTGAGAACAATTTATTTATATGTCAAGTCCTAGATGTTTTGTTTTCTCAATATACGTACTACCTTATCTCTTCTCAGAGGTCCTCGAGCTGCTGCTTATTTATTTATTTCTTAATTTCCCCCCTTCTTTCCTCGTTTTAAAATAGACCTTTCTAAATAATTTCATACTAATAATCTCCCGCTTCATTATTTCATATATTTATGAAAGATTTTAACTTGAAATCGGGGTACTGATTGTTTATGATGAGTTATTTCATTTTGTCTGTACGTTACGGACAAAATAGACCTTTGTTTTTCAAAAGTTACCGCATCGCAGATGACACAAAAATATCGGCCAGTGTTCAGTTGTTCCCAGACTAATTTTATAAATCACACACTTGTAAATGACGACAATAACAAACCGTATTGAGCTTTCCAACCAAACAGAATGTTCCGGAACGTAACAAGGAAATTTACATCGCTCTGATTTTTAGTTTAGCGACGACTTTCATGGACAAAAAGAACCTTATAGCGCGCGCTTTGATAACAGCAATAACCACTTGTTACGTAAAACGGTTTCAGCTCAAACAACCTGGCTTGCTTTCACTAAAGTTTGAAGATAAAACTTTCAACATGGAGGTAAGACAGCACAATATTTAGTGTTTCAATGTGTTTTGCTAGATGTTTTATTATTTTGATAAACTATTCATTCAAATTCGCTTAAACTTTATCTTTAAGGTGAAATATCTAATTTAGATGGTAGCTGTCGACCTACGTATAAATTATGCTTTTTACAATCAAATAAAAATTTACATGCACTTAACAGCCATCCTTACATTTTAAGCTAACAGAGTTTCATTTCCTGGCTTTTTAATTTATTCTGAAGTGAATTTCACTTTTCAGAATAAATTAAAACGCTTGTTTTAATCCAACAGCTAACGGGGTCTTTCTTCATATTTTACCTAGCTTACGGAAAAAGTTAAAAACGTTTTCGGTCGACAACTCACCAAGGTAGCTCGACGAAATACCAACAAGCAAGCAAACTTTGACCATTGCTATGATATTAATTCATGTATATAGTCATTAAAAGCGTATTGACGTCAATATTCTTATTTAAGGAAATATCGTTCAAGCGCTGGCTGAACTGCCAAGGATACTTACGTGAAGCACTTCGAAAGCAAAGTTGGATTTCGAATTTATTCTTACGGTTAACTGCGACCAACTTAGAAATCAAAAACGTATTTAGCCTTGATGTAAGACATCTCTTACCGGCTTATTTTCCCGAGCCTTAAAAGCGTCATCCATTAATAGAGTTGAAATAGGAATAGAAAAGAAAAGGATTTACTGTAAAATTTAAGCTATGTTCACACTACATTGGATAGAGTTTCCTGCCGATACGAAAAGCAACATAATCGTATAATGTGAACATCTATCATCCGTTCACCTATCAGATATGTGACTGTCCCTTTTAGAGATCAGCACGGCGCAGCTTAAATTCTTTCCGTTACAGGAATAGCGCCGAAATCACTGTTTTTAAGTGCGAACAGAAGCCCGGCTGGCGCAAATGGAGAGCTATCCGGTATACAGACGAACTGTGAACATAGCTTTAGTTTTAAAATGCGGTTTCTCTATCTAATACCTTCTCTTCAACGCAAAACATTACGTTCGTTTAAATGACTTTCATAAAAACGCGGCCAACATTGTCTCTTGGTAGGGAAGTAAGCAAAAGGGTTTTAGAAAAACATCCCAAATTTAAAATTATGTTAGAAAGGCTTTTGTGGCTTTGCGACTATCTACCCTCGGGCAGCTTTGCAGGTACTTTCGGCAAACCAAAAGACAACATCGAATCAGCCTGGTAAAGTGGACGAATGCTAAAAATGAATATTTTAACCTATACTGTAAATTGAGGGCACTGTATTTGCGCGCGCGTTTTTGAACTTTTCCTTCGAGTTACCGATATTAATGCGCGCGTTCAAAGTTTTTATGTGACTGCTTCAACGTTGCCCTGTTTATTGCCTTACTGCCGTCAATTGATCAACATTTCGCTCCAGCGGTTAGTTTGCTATCATCAAGATTCAGCCTATTATTTTTTCTTGTACAGTCAGGAGGAACTGTGTCTTCAAACGAAGTTGACAGGAAGTCGTTGGAATATCCCCCGCCTTTTGAAGACGAAGAAAGGCGAAAAGAGTTTGTTGGTAACGTTCGGCTGCGATGCGAGAAAATCTTAAAACAAGTGCGTCTATTTAAGGAAACATGTGAAGTTACAAAAGTGACTGAAGATTTCGCGGATTCAAGTGGAAGTGATTCAACTAAGGCAAGTACTATTGAAGAAGAAAGTGAAGAAAAACTTTCCATGGGCTCATTGACTACGGATCAGTTGTCGCAAAAGCTTAAGCAGCACATAGAACGGATCAGTGAGCTACTCCAAGTTCATGATATGCCAGACGTAAGTTCCATAAAACGCTTTATTGATATAAACCGTCATTTTTACATGTTTAATTTTCTCTTCCTTTTTAATGCGTTTTGTACATGTTGTTTTCTTTCTTCGACTTAAAAACTACAACTCATGAACCTTTGAACGCACCAAACAAGCTGCAACCATGGCCACAGCTATTAATAATATATTAACATCATCATCACTCGAAAGGCCAATGTACGCTAATCGTTTCGATTCTGCAGGCTCTGAAGTATTGAATTATATGTCTTTTGAGTCTAAATTTATGGCATGAAAATTATTGCCGTGCCTTGAGTTTGTGTTACATCAGTTCTAGGACCGACACGTGATGCAACAAAACGCGCTTTTTTTCCTTTTAACTTTGTTTTATATGAACTAAATTTTATGCCTAGTTTTAAATTCTCTATATTTCTCATAATCATTTGAAGACCTACTTGCCTATTTTTGCCCACTTAAAAGTTCTGAATATTGAATAACTGTACAAAAAATGGGGTTCAAAATATAATTTTTCATTTAAATTGCACAGAAATCGTTTTCTTTTCCGTCTGGGACCAATAGGGACAACTTATGCCATTTACCAATCCTTATAAACTGAAGTGTAAGATCATCAAGGCCGCAAATGTTTAAATGTATTGATGTTTTTTTTGTTTTGTTTCTTTGTTTGTTTTTTTGTAACAGCCTGAAATGCTAAACGTAAAGCAAGAGGAGGTCATAGGTTGTGATGCTGCTCAAAACGTTGTCGAGGTCAAAGGCATGCCAAAAGTTATGGAATTAAAAGATCTCGGAAAAAACTCAGGCCCGAGTTCTTCGAATGTGGCGGAGGTGGGGTCGAGTGTTTATAAAGGCAATGACGAGTTTGCTACTTGCAGGAATGCAGAAGAGCAAGCTGCAAAGTTATCATTAATAGGAGAAGAACTTTGTGATGGAAAGAAACTTGCTCTCAATCACAACTGTATGAATAAAAACACCGAAGACGAGAGCAAATATTTCATGAATGAACACGCGGAAGGTAGCGTTGACGCCAAAAACGAAGAGTCAAGCGATGTTGATCTCTCTACAAACTCTAAAGAAATAAATGAAACAAGCAAAGTTATAATCGAGGCGCTGTACTGGAGAAGGAAAACAGTTGCTGAAGATGCGGCGAGGCTTCTAGCTGAAGCAAATCCAACTAAAATTGAAACGCCTGGAGAAGAAAGCCATGCCACTGAACTTCTGAAGAGAAAGTTTGTAGACTCACCAGATGATAACAAGTTTAACAAACGGATGGCTTATGAAACCAGGGCCAAGGAAATCGTCCAGGACGTGTTTAATCGCATTGGATGCTACGAGAACTTTGTCAGGCGGGCGGACTGGGCCGATGAGACGACCACTGCTTCAGGGGATCTGGGAACTACTCTTGTGGATGATACTTACGAGGAGGTATGGCACCTTATCAATAGAACGTTACTTTAAAGCTCAAGTCGTACGTCCAGGAACGAGGTGCTAATCTGCGCTAAGGTTATCCCCAAATTGGAGGAAGACGGTTTCGAGAATGAACACGAAATACCCCCATAAAAAGGCAGCAGCACTGACCTTAAGGATTGTCTTGTTGCCCCTTTGTAGACTTAACAATTATTCCACGAGTGCGCGTTGCACATGAGATAGTAGGGAGTCAACGAGGCGCGTGGCGCCGAGTTGGCTATAATCATCTCATATATATTCAACAGGCGCGAGTGGAATAATTGTTTTATTAAAAACGCCAACAAAATCTCGAGAATTCTTCTCGACGTTATTTGTAAAAACAGCCGATTTTCAGCTCGGCCCTGATAATCAGCGTAGTTGCCTATGAACCTAATAATATTGGCTTAAAAAGGTACCCATCTTAAGAAAACAAGAGGAAAATAACTACAGACTGTAAACATAAAGTGTGCGCTACAATTACACCTTTCAAGGCTTTGCTCTTTCTTTTGCTTTATTAAGGATGAAAGGAAGCAGGACGACAAGCATTTGCCAACCTTAAAGGTCACGTGTGATGGGACAAACCAAGGTGATGGAAGAGTGTCAACTTCAAAGGTGACATCTGATGATGATGGGCAAGATGAAAGACATGTATCAGTTCCGGAAGTGACGAGTGTTATCGCAAAGGAAGATGATGGACAGATGTCAGCTTCGTGGGTCACAGGCACAGACGTCGATGACTTAGACCCACAATTGACACCTGATCCTGCAAAACAAAATTGTATACAACAGCCATCGCTCGGAATCACGTGCACGGACAATGGCGACGTAGTCTCTGCTACCGCCAGCACCGCTCGACTAATCACAATAAGCACCGGAGAAGCAACATCACGTGATATCGAAGATGAGTCAATGAAAAGACTTTCACAAAAGAGTGGTCGCAAAAGATGGGCTGAGTTGAAAAAGAGACGACGTTCATATTTAGTTGGAAACAAAATGAGTATCGGGAATGTTGTCGGGAAAGGTTTCATCTCGAAACAGTCTACGGAAGGTACCAATTGTAGAATATTTAACAAGCATTTAAACAGCTACTTTAAACTGTAATGCTTAAAACTTTTGTTTATTCTTTGCAAATAAGTGTAGCAGGCACCCTTCTCGACAGCTAAAGTTTCTCCACAAACCAAAATGAAATGGTCAAATAATAGTTACAGTTTGTCAACGAAACGGCATACTGCATGTGGGCTTTGCTGTTCGCCAGAGGCTGTGTTATTAGCTGGTAAAACATTGGAAGTAGATAACAGGGGTATTTACTAATTTGTTTATTCACCACAGTGACTGGATATAAGTGACAGATAGTATAGCATAGTAAAAACAGGTAATCTAACAGCTCTTTAGTAACGGACACTTCTAAAGAAGGACATCTGGACCCGGTTGTTCAAAAGATGGATAGCGTTATCCACCCGATAAATCGCTATCCGGTGAACACGTATTAAGAAAACCAATTGTATTATCCGATGGGTAATGCTTTATCCGGCGGATAGCGCTATTCACCTTTTGAACAACTGGAGCCTGACTTATAGTTAAACACACTCATTCTTCCGTCAGTTTTCTCAGTTACTCTCTTTAATGACAATGAGATGGACACCTCTATGATTTCTGGAGACGGACGGACACTTAGGGCGGGACTGCCAACGGTCTTCGTTTTACTTGGGGCGTTTTCTAATAGTCAGAACTGGCCGGCCGGATCATGGCCGGACCAGACATTTTGGCAATGAAATAGGCTTTTTGCAATAGGTTTGCTGAAAAACCATCTTCTTTGTGCATAATATTTAGGATTTGTCTGGTTTGAATAAAGGTGAAATTCTCATTACTATGGGTATGGGCTTGCTGGTCGGTTCTTATAAATCAGGAAATCGCAGTTATAAGAGCTGACTGTATACAAATTAATGAGGCCCTGTTAGGGTGGAATTCCGACAAGAGACATGGCCATGAAACAGCGACATAGGAAAACAGAAATGGCGGCAAACGACCCACAAATACGAATTGAAACTACAAAACTAGCGACAAGGAAGAGCGCAAATATAGTAGTAAAATACCGGCAGGGACTTGGCTTCCTCCTCAAAACGCGAAGACTAGGGACATACGGACCCCTCCCCTCCCCCTTTCCCTAAGAGGGCGTCATTAATGCAGTTTAACACATTTGTTAACACTCAATATCAAGCGCTGGAGGCATGGAGTACGAGCATTGTTATCGCATTGTACCACAGTATCGAGTTTTACAGTATTTGTTTTGTCCCGACAAGGCTCATCCTTGGACCAGTATGAGATATCTAGGCCGGTCTTGGCACAAGGCAATGCTGCAATTAGTTAATTTCTTTATATTTAGATAATTGTTCAGAAGAAGCTAGACTCATTATGGACGAGGAGAAGCTAGTTTCCTTGAAAGAATTCATTGCACTTGGAGGTACGCGTTAAAACAGCAAAGAAATGAGTTAACATATGCTATGCTGTCCACATTGATCTGGTCAAATTTGAAAACGTTCACTAAGGAACAGAGCCTAAGAACAGACCCCCCCTGGGGGGGGGTCTGTACATAGGCTATAAGGAACATGGCTTTACTATACCGTCCACACGGGACTTTACAATATGAGCAATTTTTTGCCCCCTTATTTGTTCCAGAGCTATGGTCTATGAGAGTGTAGACCGTACAAAATTATTGTCTTTTTGCTAAACGATCGTAATTTTCCGTGATGATTAAATTGTGAGCCGAAGTCATGTAAAAGCTAGCTTTTATGCTTTCATCTTAAAACGGACGATTAATATCAGAACAAAATGACCATGAAAACCCTTGTAACTCTTGATCGGAAATTCAGACGAATATCTTGTTTCATTACCCGCCCGATTGTCCTTCACCAAAACTTCGAAATTCCCGGGAATGAAGTATGTCATTCTGCGTGTGCTCGAACTTTGAAAGAGGTAATTCCACACAGGAACAAAGCTATAATAGCATAGTACTCGGCTTGTAAAACAACGTTTTGAAAGTTTCGTTCCTTTCTGACCAGATCGATAGTGACAAGAAAATGGCTCAACTCGCCTCAGAAGGCCTTTCTTTTGGCTTAAAGAATAATTTTTTGGAATGTTCTCTTTTGATGTATTTAATTTTAGACACCAAAACTACAGGTGGAGATGATGTCGTGGTATTAAATCCTTCCAAGATTCCGAGTAAAAGAGAGTTTGCTGGAAAGAAAGAGTACAACGAGGTCATGGATTCTTTACTATGGTAGGTTCGCTAATAGCCCTTAAACATTAGGCTGATTTAGCAACAGAACGAAAACGTCAATTGAAGACGGGAAAGCGCGCAGAAAGGACTAAACGAGACTTCTGGTGCTCAATTTGCTGCTCTGCCATTGGTCAAACCAGTTGTTTGATTTGCGCGCGCCGTCGTCAACTGACCCTGTTCCCGTCCAACAATAGTGGAAATGCCAAGAACTTACTCCCCAAACGAAGCTCGGTGATGAAACAAGCAAGTCTGAAGTCATCATGCGTATGAGCTATTCTTTATGAATTGCACTGGAACAATCTTAACTAAGTCTCCTGCTCGATCTACTTTTGATATAGGAAGGATCGATAGTCCACGAGCACACTTAGTTTCCTGCCCAACTGTTCTAAAAACTTCTGTGTAAACGTCACATGTATTAGTATTGAAACTCACCCACAAAGTTCTGCCTCGTACCCAGCCCTGTCTTACTCTACAGAACCTCCCATAACGGCCACCTCTCTGCAACGGCCGCTTTTTTTGGCGGACAGTCCATACATCGACTTCTTTTAAACCACTCTAAAACAGCCACCTCTCTACAAAGGCCACTTTCTTCTGTCCCCGAGGTTAAGGGGGCCATATTGGAGAAATTCAACTGTATGTAAGGGTAGGCGTCAACAAAAAATTTCGCGGCGGTAAGCGTTCGCTCACCGTCCTGTCTGTCCCACCCTTGTCATTCTACTCGTCCCGAGCGTTCTCAATAAACACCTGTGGAGGATCCTTCGCAAGGTTAATTTTACATCCAAATATTTATTTCAGGCATGCTCAAAAATTTACAGACGAGAGGGTGGAAAGTGGCAGTTTTGTCCTCACGGTTCACGCTGGTAAACAGAGAAGAAGTCGACTTCGTTCTCGCAAATGGGCGATGGAATTTTATAAGTTTTTAAAACAAAGGTAACAACAATTTTAAGCAAGTTTATTTTTGGCTTCCATGATTCGCCTTGATTATATTACTTAGTTTAAGTTTGAAAGAGGTTATTGTGTCTGCAGTTTCAATCACTCTTCTTGTAAACCAGAGATTTTGAAACAGTATATGTTGTATGTATGCGGCATTACCGGGCCTAATGAAGAGTTGCTGTGAGAGCCTTGTCAGTTTTTGTAACTTAATAATAAGGACGCTTGTCTAGGTGGAGGAATGGCAACGGTGAACAACAGTGAACAATATAACATCTATACGCGACTAGCCAGCTAATTAGTATAGGTAATAGCATAATTTGTAGTGATGTTAGGCATAAATACCACAAGCGATATTTTAAAATTGTTACATGTAATCCGGGAGGGGGGTACTCCCATACATTACCTATACGGGTATGTGCCGCCCAACGGGGTCGTGATTTTGAAGCTACTGATTTAGAACGGGGCATCCATTTCAGAGGCGTTTTCTAGAACGGGGTATAATATTTCGAACGAACGAAAGCTCCAGTTTTGTAAGCAGCCATTTGAAATTATTCAAGGACAGATTGCTTTTAAAAATACGGTTCATGCGTTAACAAGCAAACTGTTGTACTCTTTGCACCTTAGAACGGAGTATAAAAAATTGGCCTATTTCTAGAACGGGGTATCAGTTTTAGGGCGAATTCTAGAACGGGGTATCAATTCTAGGGAATTTTTTTTTAGAACGGGGTGCCAATTTGGAGTCCCGGGCGGCACATACGACCAAAAAAATACCCAAGTGCCCCCTTCCCCACCCCGGCATGTAATTTCACGAGCCATTAGTATAGGCGAGTGAAATTTGAGACAACTTTGAAATATCACGAGTGGTATTCATGCCAAATACCACGTACAAATCATGCTATTATTTGTTTATACTACTACCTGCAAAAGGTTTGTAATATTCACATGTAGGTATTTCAAATTACGCTGAAATACCACTGCACTAAGCCAATCAAATTGCAGTAATTTCTCATGTAGTAGTATAAACCGAGTTATATATCAACCCGCCGAGTTTTCAAACCTCTAAATGTAGTTTGAATCCATTCTCTTTCGTCTTGTTCTCGAAATTCGTATTTTGAAGGTATCGAGACAGATTAACCCGCTGTGTGCTTTTAAAGCCTTCTCTCAAACTTAGAGCATTGGTGGTTTTATCACGACCCTTTCTTTCGTAAGTAACTACACGAACGTTTGCTTTTGGTCGCTCATG